GGAGAGGGCAAAGATTGAGATTGTGATTGAGTTGGAGGTAGAGTAATAGTGTGAGGTAACCGCTTGTAGAAGTCACAGTTACAGTTACTCTAAGAAAGTCCTACTTCGAGACTGGATTTACCAGACTATATATATATATATATATATATATATATATATATATATATATATATATATATATATATATATTATTATTATTATTATTGCTACTAACTGCGTTTCTGGATCTACTAACTGTATTACCAATTGTATTATTGTGTAAATACATTTAATTTCTTATCTTTATTTCCTGCGTTTGTCATTCATTGGAGACCAAATTTCATCTCGGAATCCACAACAAATATAGGTACAAATAATATAGTTATACAAAGCGCGTGTACTGGACTCAGTTTGTTCCCTTTCATCGATAAGGTCTGTATGAGCACCATCATTTTCGTGTAGGAGCTGTTGTGTCAGAAATCTGTAATAGAAAATTATATTACGTATGGGTAACAACAGTTTCGGGCCACCCTGTATTTTGTTACATTTCTTTTAAAAAATGAAATCAGCCTAATGGGTGCCGTTACTTTCTCTACAGTGTCGAAGGCGTTCACGAAGGTTATCCATAACACGACTGGGCATTTCATGTGGAATGGCAGAAATTTCTTGACGAATGAAATCTTTTACACTATTTACATTATTCGGACTATTGTCCTCACGTTTGTCGCTATGTTTATCACAACGTTTCGGCCGTGGTACTCTCCGGCCTTCTTCAGGTGGTTGGAATGTCGAACTGAACCCTTTATTTCGCTCAATGAGGTAGACTGTTCTAGTTCCACGTGCCATGTCTAATGGATGTCAGTTATCTCCTGTTAATTCCTCAAGGACACATGACACAGTGGATAAAGGCGTTTGTTAGATCCAGTGACAGGACCCAAAGAGTGTGGTTTCAATACCTGGTTAAGGCAGTGGAAAACTTTGAGATGGCGACAAAGATGAGAACAATAGTCCGAATAATGTAAATAGTGTACATAATACCTCATCTCAGAAATATAAACAGATACTGGAATCTTTTAAGTGTTCAATAGATCGAGTGTGATGAGTGTATACCTTTGATTTCAGGTATCCCCCTACAGAAAAAACAAAAATCGCACGGGTTCAAATTAGGTGATCGAGCGGACCAACGCTCTTTGTGTTGCAGTTACCGATTCGTTGTTCTAGATAGACGTTTCCACAATGAAAGCGCGATGCTCGCAAATCCAATTCATGTTAGCAACTGAAAATGAACTGAAACAAAAATGGCATTATATGTATATTTTGAAATTAAAAAAAAAACAACACATATTTCGTTCTTTACTCCGCTTTAATTAAACCTACAAATGTGCCGGATCATTTTGCCGCCCGCTGTAGTTTGTGAATAGCCTCCATAATGGCGGTTTGCTAAGCATAGCCTAGATTTAGCAAAATGCGGAACGTTTGGATTGGAGAGCTTAGTGAGGATCGAACGGATTTGTAATTGTTCGAACAAGAAAAACTTTCTTTTCATTACTCAAAGTTAAATAGCCTGTAGATTTTGCTAGAATTTGCAGGTAAATTTTCTTGACACCTGGTGAGGGTTTATATATATATATATATATATATATATATATATATATATATAGTTAGTAATTCGTTAGTATAATGCAAACGAGTCCTATTAACACAATATAGAATATTAAATATTAAATGTTAAAACTGACTCGCAAACAGGGATCAATGTTTATTTTCATTAAAAGAAAGTTATTTCATACAATTGGAATTAAGATGCCATTAGTGAATGATCATTTTCAATTTATAATTGCGGGTGAAAATGATCATTCACTGATGGTATCTTAATTCAAGTGTATGAAATATATATATATATATATATATATATATATATATATATAGTATAATATATAATATATATATATAGTATTTTGTCTCTTTTTCTTTCCCCAGCTATCCAGTCCTCGTCAACAAACTGACATTTTAAACATAGTTAATTGGAATTAAGATATATCAGTAAATGATCATTTTCACCTTCGAATTTTCACTTAATTTCCATTCAAAATTCGAGGGTGAAAACGATCATTCACTGATGGTATCTTAATTCCAATTGTATGAAATACATCTATCTATCTATCTAGCTATATATCTGTGTGTGTGTGTGTGTGTATGTACACGTAATAGTTTAAAGCCAACAATTACTTTAATATATTTTTTTGTTCATATGTTATTATTATGAACAAAACTTATTTGAGTAAATGCTGTGTTTTAAGTAAACAGTATTAATTACGTTTACCAAGAAACCTCGTAGAAAATATGCCTACTCCGCGATCCAATACGGAAATACTTGGAATATCATTTTGGGACATTTCAATTATTATCGAATCTACCTCTTTCATTATATTCTTGAGATCATTATTTCTTTTTTCCGCCGAGTTACAATTCCAGTTGGGTTCGTTATATTTAATTACACGCAAATAACCTTGGGAAACGTATGAATCTACCTCTTCTCCCCCAGCTATAGGTTAATTAGTAGGATTTTTATCAGTAAATCTCATTCTGGCCTGTTAGAGGCCAGAAAGAAAGACACGGGAAGAAAAAGGTAGGTTAATAATAATAATATATCTGTTATTGAAATAACAGATATATACAAAGTAAGAGTGTAATTAGTCAGCAGATAGAAGTGTCCGTCCAAACTGTCAGGTTACACTGCGTCTCGATTGCCTCTCGTAGGAAGTCTCGCAGATTTGTATTTATGTAAGGAGGAAGAGTTGATTCCCATGTAGGTAGGTCACTATAACAAAATCATCATTATCTAAAAAAATCTTGCAACTTAAAAAATATTTTTCTGGTTTAAAATAACCTTGCAGAAGGTTGTTAAACCGTAAAAACAATTCAATAAAACAGTCAACCAAAGAAAATTATATATAATAATATAAGTCCTATTCTTGGTATATTATACTATCTTTCGACATGAGAAAGCTAAAAATGTGACTGAAAGTACTGAGCGCATGCGTGCTTCACGTGATGGTCCGTTTGAAAAGTCGGATTTTTGGCCGTCGAATTGCTGGAATGTCCTTCTCAAGAATTGCAGTGCATATTGGACATGTCACATCGGTGGTTTTTTTTTCGATGTTGACAATAGCGGCGAAATAAACATTCCTAACTCTAAAGACAAGATTCTTGATGGTCGCGTAGTACATATGTTCGCCAAGATCATTGCATTTTAAGGACAGCCTACAGAGATCAGAACAAATCTGGCCCCTGGAGTATCAACAGAAGCAGCAGGGAATCTTTTACTTGGGGTAGGAATACGGTCATCTCTTCGCACTTACTCCGCAAGACCGTTACACGCTATTCCAGTAGTATCTGTCTATATTTCTGAAATGAGGTATTATGTACACTATTTACATTATTCAGACTATTGTCCTCATCTTTGTCGCCATATTTATCACAACGTTTCGGCCGTTGGACGCTCCGGCCTTCTTCAGGTGATTGGAATGTCTAACCGAACCCTTTATTTCGCTCACTGGGGTTTATGCACTGTGCCAAGTGTTCAGGACACATGGCACAGTGGATAAAGGCGTTGGTTAGATACAGTGACAGGACCCAAAGAGTTTGAGTTCAATTCGCGGTTCACGCAGTGCAGAACTTTCAGAAGGCAATTAACAGGAGATAACTGATAACTGACATCCATTAAACATGGCACGTGGAACTAGAACAGTCTGCCCCAGTAAGCGAAATAAAGGGTTCAGTTCGACATTCCAACCACCTGAAGAATGCCGGAGCGTACAACGGCCGAAACGTTGTAATAAATGTGGCGACAAAGATGAGGACAGTAGTCCGAAAAATATAAATAGGCTATTCCAGTAGTCTCGCGCCAGTGTTATCTGAGGTATCGACTGGCGATCTGTATTGCACGCTGTGTGTGCAACGTAGAACTGGGGAAAAAAAACACTTGTTCAACGCCTTTGATGTTTGTAGAAAGAACGTTAAACAGTGACGCACCAATCGTGAAATCGTAATGCGAAGTTGCAGCAGAATAATTCCTTCCTGTGGGATCCCGTACTATGTAACATGGTGGGACAATCAAATATTGAACCTGTATGGGACAAGACAGAACGACGTCTGACATTTATTTAGACCTATAACTCGCAATATTACATATTTTTTTGCAAAAGCGTAGAATAATTATTTAAACTCGAATAATAGTTCTAATCTTATAGTTATCACAAAGCCTCGACCATTGAGCTCGCCGAAATTCCTCAAGTGTTTGTCGATCCTGATAAACTTCCGGGTATTTTGAACTGGACCTTTTATTTAATATACAGGGTTTAGATTGTTCTCGTTTAACTGTCCATGTCTAGGGATATCTCCTTTTGTTCTTATCTTAATAGTGCTCAGTCATTTACACCCCACGTTTATACTGAGTTTAGATCTGTACTACCAGGTTCTGGGATTGAACGCGAAATGACAGTTTCATCGAATTCACGAACCAACGCTTTAATCGACTAGGCTATTTTTCCATGTGTCTCTGGGCGTAGAATAATACATCCCAGAATGGCATCTGCATAATTCCAATAAATTGGAGAAGACAGGCTCCAAAAGGAAGTTGAATGTATGAATACAATGTCTGAGTAATGTTTAGACAAACACTCTTTCGAAATCTGTACACGTATTGATCTATATGGGTGATTATATATACTCGTATTGATCTATATCGGTGATTAATTACAGTTATTTTGCTATATTATCAGTATGTTTAATATAGAGTAACAGAGAATATGGATTCAGAATATTGCAATTTTAATTTTCATCAATGCATGTACATAGGTAAGTGCATATATGGACAAATATTATTAGCTGAATCAAGTGGCGAGAATAAACGTTAATGTAAGTTGCTAGTGTATATCTATATTCGTTTCGTAGAGAAACTTTGGAAATGTATGTGACTGAGACGTGAAACTGACATTCATCATGCCGGGTTGATCCATATGAATGTTTGTTATCTATCTATCTATCTATCTATCTATCTATCTATCTATGTATTGAGAAATAATTTTATTGAACTTATTATCTATCTATCTATCTATCTTTTTCAGTCTTTTTATATCTATCTTTTCATATCTATCTATTTCAGTCTTTTTATATCTATCTATCTATCTATCTATCTATCTATCTATCTATCTATCTGTCTATCTTTTCAGTCTTTTTATACCTATCTTTTCATATCTATCTATCTATCTATATATATATATATATATATTTCAGTCTTTTTATATCTATCTATCTATCTATCTATCTATCTATCTATCTATCTATCTCAGTCTTTTTATGTCTATCTTTTCATATCTCTCTCTCTCTCTCTATCTATTTTTCAAATCTATCTATCTATCTATTTCAGTCTTTTTATATCTATCTATCTATCTATCTATCTATCTATTTCAGTCTTTTTATATCTATCTATCTATCTATCTATCTATCTTTTCATATCTATCTATTTCAGTCTTTTTATATCTATCTTTCTATCTATCTATCTATCTATCTATCTATCTGTCTATCTTTTTCAGTCTTTTTATACCTATCTTTTCATATCTATCTATCTATCTATATATATATATATATTTCAGTCTTTTTACATCTATCTATCTATCTATCTATCTATCTATCTATCTATCTATCTATCTCAGTCTTTTTATGTCTATCTTTTCATATCTCTCTCTCTCTCTCTCTATCTATTTTTCAAATCTATCTATCTATCTATTTCAGTCTTTTTATATCTATCTATCTATCTATCTATCTATCTATCTATCTATCTATTTCAGTCTTTTTATATCTATCTATCTATCTATCTTTTCATATCTATCTATCTATCTATCTGCAAGGAACCTACAAACAACATTCGAATGTTTGCTTAGGTTTGTATTGTTATGTTAACTTAAGTGTAAAACCTATTCAGGAAGGCATAAATGCATAGATCTGTCTTTACTCTCATTGCCAGATTTCTGACCTGCTACCTTGGACAAGAGAATTGCTGAATATTTTGGAAAAACCAAACTCCGCTAAGAACTTCTTCATATGAAGTACCTTTATTACAAGAGAAGGCTCGAGTTAATTCCTGACGCCTGAGGCCTCCCCAAGGTGAAAATGCTAAGGGGACATAGGATGTTGCTCAATTCCCATATATGCTTGCTATTTCCACTTTAAGGATCCACCTTGTATCGCATTCCGTTCGAGTGAGGATGCAGAGGGATATATACACGCTTAATGTTGACATATTCATAAACTTGTCTCGTTCTAAAACCGTTACGTTTTCAATCTTGTTTGTTTGTTTAGCAGCATATCAACTCCTTATGGGTCATTTAATGCCGAAATTTAATTTTTACTGTTGTGACCTAGAGGATCAAACGAAGATTGGTAATGAACGCTAATACTTAGGACAAGAACAACACATATAAGATTCGCCAGCGGCGTGTAGAATATATAGTCAACTGTTAGAAGTGAGTCAAGTGAATTCCACCATGAATCTCCAACTGCAGGATATCTACCAACTGCCCATTGCGGTCAGATATCGCACATGGTAGAATTTAATGTGAGGTATCCGAGCTCGTAGGCTCGGCCAAAAATTCCCCGTAGACCCAGTATAAAACAGGGCTGGGTTTCTGTTACCCTAGACGAGACTCTACCCTTCGACATAGCCTTGCCTGGGGATCTTCTCTGCCCGGAGGCAGATAGTTTGACCAGCACAGGTGGAAACGAATCTCTAACTTCAGGATATCTATCAACCACTCCAGACAGTCAAATGTGGCACAAGGCTGAATTTAAAAAAAAATCCCCGTAGACCACGTATAACACGGGGTCGGGTAGCTGTTTCCCGAGATTGGACTCTGCCCTTCGACGTAGCCTTGTTTGGAGATCTTCTCTGCCCGGTGGCTGATAGTTTGACCAGCACAGCTTGAGACGAATCTCCAACTGCAGACCAACATACAGTATTTATTACTGTATTTATGTGAATGGGGACATTACTCACTATATCCCATAGTTATGCTAGAACGATTATGTAAATAGATATTTGATTCATTAACTGGGATTGTATCTGAGATAGAGAAGTAAAGAAGATAGGTATATTTTCTGTCTTGATATCTGGTTATAACACGGTAAATGAAGATTCATCATTGTGGCTATCAGCTTTTCATGTCCGGAAAAGGAAGTCCCACTTTCGCTTTCAAAGCGCAACATGTCAGTGTCATCGTGATTTTTTATGTTACGCTTGGGCTGCTTGTTTTTGATAGTTTTCTGACAGGAAGTCTCATTTATCTGAGTTTCCTCTGGTAGTAAATTTCATCATTATTTAAAGTTGTGTTGATGAATATTCTAATCTTGTTTATAAAGTCAATGTTATTCTTGTAGAACCAACCAAGTTAGACAGCTCAGTCAGCCCACATATCTGTATTTCTTTTTACTGTAAACGTTATTGTTAGTGGGCACACGTATTTGAGTAGTTATTCCTGATTCTTTAATCTTCTTAAACTGTGGAATTAATAATAACCGGGCTACATTGAGATGTCTTACTAAATAAAGATGGTGTTCCCAACTTGAGTTAAGACTGTATCCCTCTTCTAGTTGAAACGAGCCTTTATCAGTTCCGCCACCTAAGCTAGGTTAATTGACCAATGGCTGAATTAAATTTCTGTTATCATATTATAAAATATTAAATTAACTTTGCATCTTTCGTAATAAGAAACAATATAGGATGAAAAAATCCAGTGAAAACCATAGCTGTATATACGGTATATAGACGTGGAAAAATCATGTTTCAAAACAGAGTATGTATAAAACTGGAAACCCGGACGAAAACAAAATCATTGAACAGCGCTCGAAGTTACGTTTAAGCGAGGTTTGGCATCACTTTGAATTAATACTCTTTTGGAGACCATCAGTCAACTTCTTCATGTGTTGTGACTCTACGCGAGATATAGGGACAAAATGTCTCGTTGTGATATCATGATAGCTAACGGAGAGTAGTCTCGTTGTCACATTATGATAGCTAACAGAGAGTAATCTTGGTATATCATGATATCTAATAGAGAGTAATCTAGTCCTCATCTCATGATATCTAACAGAGAGTAATCTCGTTGTCATATCATTATACCTAACGGAGAGTACTCTCGTTATGATATCATGATAACAAACGGAGAGTAATTTCGTTATGGTATCATGATAGCTAACGGAGAGTAATCTCGTTATGATACCACGTTACCTAACGGAGAGTAATCTCGTAATGATATCCTGATAGCTAATGGAGAGTAATCTCATTATGATATCATGATAACAAACAGAGAGTAATCTCATTGTGATATCATGATAACAAACGGAGATTAATCTCGTTATGATATCATGATAACAAACGGAGAGTAATCTCATTATGATATGATAACAAACGGAGAATAATCTCGTTATGATATCATGATAGCTAACGGAGAGTAATATCGTAATGATATCCTGATAGCTAACGGAGAGTAATCAACTCTTTCGTTTCAGCATACCTGAATTTATAACATTGTTTACATCGGTGGGGGATCTTTGTCTTATTCTATTGCGAGATCCATATTTTATTCTTCATTGGAATCGTATTGCCTCGTAGTCTCTTTTTTTTCTCGTGGCGTATCTTCAATATATCGGTTGGATAAACTTATGACTAATTGACGAACGGTGCGAACCAAAATAATTGTGCTTCAAGTATGAAAAAGAAAGGTATATACGTATGTGAAAATCCACGACAAAGCAGGTCTGCATTTAAACGCAATTTAAGGGAAATTTCGCCTCTTTTTTTTTTTTTAAATTCGGATGATCGATTTTAACACGAGATAACTTTTGAAAGAGTGTATAAGGCAAAGATTTCATCAAACCATTAAAGCCCATTCATCAGCATTCGTACAAGAATAGCTTATACGTGTCACCTTATAAGTTATAACTATGCCGATGTCTTTAAATATTTCTATCCATATAACTACACTATAAGAAGGTCGTGGAATGTAGAAGACGGAGAAGTGCGATTCGATAGGAATTTGATGGGGTGGGGATGAGAAAGGGGGAAAACAGAGAGTGAGAGATTGGGGGGACGGTTAGATCGTTGTAATTTAGCGTTCATTATTGCACTTACAATAGTATTGAAGCAGTTTGGTTTCATTTAAATGTGAAATGTTTTGACTCACTAAAGAAATGAGGGCAACAAATGAGTCAATTTTAGTGGAGGACGGGAGGGAAATAAGTATGCGCTTTCGTGAAAACGGCCTTTTTTTTGTTGTTTTGTTTTAGAAGAGAATTGGGAAGTGAGTAAAAGAGAAAAAGAGCAGAGAACAAAGATTAAAAGATGAATGTCGAAACATCTAACAGAAACGGTTGAGAAAGAAGATGACAGAGAGAGAGAGAGAGAGAGAGAGAGAGAGAGGACAGATAGATAGATAGATAGATAGCTTATTAAGTACGTCTTTATATAAAATATGTATAGATACTTCGATAAATAAACAGAATTGGATGCATATGTCAATAGATAGATAATGAAGAGACTGAGATACAAAAGAAAGAAAGAAAGAAAGAAAGAGAGAAAGAAAGAAAGAAAGAAAGACAAAGATAACTGGATAGATAGAGAGCGATGAATAGTCTTTCATAAGTAGTTAAATAAGTAGGGGAAAGGAGACTGCAATCTATGATAGATAGATATTTATTTATCTCATTCTGTTCATATCTATCTATCTATCTATCTATCTATCTATCTATCTATCTATCTATCTATCTATCTATCTGTCACTCTAGCTAGCTAGCTAGCTAGCTAGATAGATAGATGGAAAGATAGAGTGATAGAAAAATAGAAAAACAAAAAGAAAAGGAAAGAAAGAAAACTGGATAGATAGATCGATTGATAGCAATGAATAGTTTTGGATAAATAGTTAAATTAATAAATGAATGTAGAGATTACAAGAAAAATTAGATATATAGATTGATAGATAGATAGGTAGGTAGGTAGATAGATATGAACAGAATGAGATAGACAAATAGATAAAAAAAAGAAAGAAAAACAGAAAGTAAAAGAAAGAATGAGAACTGAATAGATAGATCGATTGATAGCAATGAATAGTTTGGGATAAATAGTTAAATAAATGAACATAGAGACTGCAAGAATATTTAGATAGACAGCAGATTGAGATAAGTAGATAAATAGATAGGAACATACTGAGATAGATAGATAGATAGATAGATAGATAGATAGATAGATAGATAGATAGATAGATAGATAGATGGCTGGCTGGATGGATGGATGGATTAGTTGATTAATTGACAAAAGGGTTGATGAAAGAGAAACAGAATGATGGGTGAAGCGATAAAGGCACAAGTGGAAGTAAAGTGCAATATGGGTAGGGGGTTTATAGGAATAGAATGAAAATAAAAAAAACACGTAATCTGAGGTGGAGGTGTTTTAAAGTAATAATCATGACTGTGGAGGTAGGGGTGAAGAACCGAAAAGAAAGAAAAGGAAGCGAAAAGAATGAGAGCCTTCTTCTCTTTGACAATCTCGAAGTAAATGAAAATAAAAGACTGTCTTTCATTACATTATTCGCTTCAATGGAAATACTTTAAGAGTTACATTCAATTTCTCTTTTCTGTCTTGTTTACTCGAGTTTCGACTTCGTTCGCCTTTTGTGTTCTTTTCTTTCTTTCTTGTTTGATTTTATTTTTCCTTTTGCTTTTTGCACGTCCTTTCTTTCTTTTTTTTTTCTATCTTTCTGTCTGACTTTCTTTCATTCTTACTTATTTGCATGATTTTAGTTTTTATTTTTCGCCTTATAGATTATCATTTTCTTTCTTTCTTTGTTTCTTTCTTTCTGTCTGTCTGTCTTTTTTTCTGTCTGCCTGTCTT